GAACAAAACCTGAAAAGTATTACCTATAAATGAGGTCTGATGTTCTACCTGATTTCCCTATCGACTTACTAACACCACATAATTTAAAACCTACGTACAATTAAACGTATTTGTTTATATTGTGTTCTTTGAGTTAGGTGGTTTAATTGTAAAGATTTCATTGTCGTTCTGGATAAAATCAGCGTTCACTTTACGTGAAATTAATATCAATGAACGACATAATTAAATGATCAAAACGTTCCTTTCTTAAATAACCATTTCTACGTATTTGTGATTGGTCACAAAGTTATGTCATGTACTAAGATTGTTGTCAATCGTTTGCAGCACTTCATCATTGCAACATATATTATAGGAGTATTCACATCTTCCATGTGGCTTGTTGTGTAAACTCTTCGGGTTCATAAATCGGAAATTCAGAAACGGTTTTTTGTGAAGTTTTCTTAACATACTGTTCACAACCAAAAATAATTTGTCAGTTGTGGATGTTAATGTTTGTTACTTTCTGAGTAGATTTGTATCCCCTCAATCAATTATTTTTCAGTCCAGCTATTTATTTAAAAAATCATGTCATTGTGCTACCATAGTTAACTGAAATAACGGTTGATTATAAGCATGTATTATGTTTGGAATGCAGATAGATCACACGTCTTAATGCTAACAGCAAGCAAAAAGTTAAAATGTGGTGCGTTGTTGAAGTAAATTATTAATCTAGACATGGTCGCTATTTATACGATTTTTTTTCTTGATCACTAACATATATACCTATATGAAGTGTACAGATTGTATATTTTTGCCAGTTGACACTTCCTAATCATCGTCTTTTCACTTAGATAGCCATTGTAGCAAGCATACAGGGAACTTAAAAATACTATACATGAATCGGACTTATGAATCACGACATTAACATAATCGACCAATAAGTTAGCATCCGTATAGGATTTATGCCATGTTTTGGTCTGGCCGCCCCTAGCTTTCTAACAACCTACTCCTACACCATAAAGCATTGCACGTTGGGGCAGTCGGTGGTTGGGCATACGTAACACATGTCCCAGCCATCTCAACTGGTGAAGTTTCACTACTTCATCAATCGATTTGCCATCCTTACCTAGTACCCGTTTCCTAACATCTACATTACTTACCTGGTGGTCCCAGGATATACGAGCAATGCATCGAAGACATCTATGTTCGAATACTAGTAGCCTACGAATATCCTGCACTCTTATCGGCCATGTTTCACTGAAATAAAGTAGGACGGAACGGACTGCTGCGCAGTATACTCGTCCTTTGGTTGCTAGACGAATATCTCGCTTACGCCATAAATGGTGCAAGTTGGCGAAAGCTAGACGAGCCTTCTGTATCCGTGCTGAGATTTCGTCACACACCAGACCACAAGGGCTGATGAGACTCCCAAGGTAAGTGAAGCTGTCAATACGCTCAACTACTTCACTCCCTATCATTAGTTCAGGTGTCGATGCAACCCAATCCGGACGGAATCTCAAGACCAGCCCTCCGACTTTTAGCGAAACGGAATGTCATGGATTATCTACTGTGTATGAGAACAGCAAGCCCTAATGGATTAGCCCCAAAAATCCGTAAGGATGATAGTTTGGCTATAGCTGTTGGATTCACTGATACTGTGGTGTGGGTTACTTATATCCACATAAGTAGTATATGACGATGGTCGGGCATAGAATGTATTTCAGTAGATCGATAAGGAAAGAACAGGAGCGAAACGCAATTGAAATGAAAATGCATGAACAATGAAATCGGAGACGATGAACTGATATCTGAATAAGGAACAACCAAGATTGAGACAATTGATTGATACTTTGCAAATTAACTGTTTACTGTATGGCTGTCAGATTTTAGAGAGATTGTCTGTATATTTCGTGTCAAATAAATTCGATTGTTCCCATTCGTGTTCTTGTTCACTACAATACTAGTTAGAATCTGGGTCCGACTGGTTTCAATGGCTGGTCGTTCAAGTTGACAAACAATAATCCCATTCTGATAATCTCAGACGGACCAGTTCGACCTACACACTGTCTAAAATATTAGCCTTAATCATCAACCAACGCCTAATTAGAGCTCATGAAGAGCAAACTTAGGAAAACAGATTGGTTTTAAACGCAGGGGCTAATGTGTAGACCAGTTAATCAGGCCTTGTAAAATTCTTAAAAAATATACATACCCAATGAATCTCAACTACAGCTGTATTTTTAGACATTAAAGTACTGTTCATCTCTGTAGACTGAAAGCTCTTATAGGAACCTTTTATTGAAAAATCTACCAAGAAAAGTACATTATTCTTGTACATGTTCTCCTCGAACACTATTCGTCAAATTAGAGCTTGCGGCGAAATGTCTTCGAAATCGACAACTATAAGTTTCCATCAGGATCATCTGCTTTCCCCACTTTTATTTAACTTTGTTATAGACATCCTTTTAAGGGAAACACTTTCATTGTCTAACTTACCAGAAGTTAATTTTCTAATATGAGGTTTTCTTGTTGACACATAAATGATATAGTTCTTTTTGATAGGGACACTAATAACTGCAATTTTTGATTGCTTTGAGCAACAATAACAGTATGTTCGAGATATGTTAATTTATCTCTAAATGAAGAATGTTGCTTCATGACTAGTCTGCATTATCCCCAAGATGATCAGTCAAATGTGTTGACCACTCCACTTAACTTGAGAGTTTCATCAACCCTTGTGGGTTGGTGTCTGAAGAAATCCCGGCATAGAGTCACAAACCTCAGTTAGCTTCTGTCGCTTCCGGCGTAAGCGAGATAACAGTCTGCCACAGAGAAATTATACTACCCAGCAGCTCGTTTCATTCTACTTAATGGTGGTGAAATGTAGCGGCACTATGTTAGTAATGCAGTGGTTCGGGTAGAACAATCACTATTCAACTGGCATCACTATCTTAACACCTAAGACATGACTTACGAATGTCTTCCCAGCCAACTCCACACCATGCATTATTTACCGACACTGGAACCGGTTGGGAAAACTGGAGGTGGTCATTGCATGACATAGTGCCGTGGTATGAAAGAACGCTGTACAGGACTGGTTCTTGTTGATCCTACGACTCCTTGACCACGGTCCCAGAGACGATACAATACAGTGGCTTGAGACATTATTAGACATGGTTATGTAATAAGCCATTGGTGATCTTGTCACCTCACGAAAGTGAACGTAACTTCTTTAACAAACAGGACTTTTCGTAACTATTGCTTTTCCTACTATTATTTTACTCTCATACACTAACTTTTGTTTAATATTGTCCTTTTTTATATAGACACTTTATATTCTGTATCTCTTCACAACCTAATTGTTATTGAAGCACATGTATTTCGTGTCATCTTGTACCAACGTTTATGTTTAAATGAAACAAAAATTAGTGTCATAACAAAGGTGCAAAAACATTGAAATAATTACGATAATTGTTACCAGATGAAATCATAACTTTGAAAGCAGTAAAAATCAAACTAGAATTTCCAGGATCAGAAAATATACGTGATACATCTAAATTATGCTCACCACGAAAATCTGTTGTGAATAAATCCTTCAATCTAAAGCAGCCAATCAGGAATTAAATTCAGTGAATGTGTGTTCTTGGATGATAGAGAACTGTGACTAACCAACCAATCCATCTTAAGTAAACTCACTAATTACCTTCCTTTAGGCACTTATTACTTTACTGAACCCTCAGAAACTACGATGATACTCTATTGACACTTGTATCAAAACATCGAACATTTTGTGACCAAAACCTACAAACCATTATGCTAGTTTTACCCAAACTATCATCTTAAACTGACCTAAGCTCCGATATCAGGAACCTAACTACTGCTGATAGTTAATGCTTTATGTAACTTGACTGCTAATGAAGCATACACATGGAACTTGTATTGGACGCAAAACGATTGAAGGGCGAAACTAGTATGATTAATAGTTGTAATAACTTTATATATATATAAAGTATCGGTACAAAACTCGGGGGACGATAATCAATAAACAAAACAGACTTATACGTTATTTGAACAGAATAATATACCTAATAAAAGGACAACCAGGAAGGTCTTAGGTGAACCCAAACAAAGTAAGTATCACCGGTAACCCTTCATAATCCAAATTCAGTGATCATACCGTCGAATTTAGTAATGACTACCAGCACTTTTTTCAGCCGCTAACACGTGCAGTGACCGGTGATAATAGACTATACACAACGTTGTCGAACGCACATGAACGTTTCAAACCTCTTCGTATTATGAGCATAAGGAATATTCCGACTCCGCATTGTAAACTCCATGGTGAAAATGAGGTAAATGTTAATAAATGATAGATTAGAACTACAAAAAAGCATAGTATGAAAGTGGATATTTCCTCTTTGACACTGCAAACGAGTGAGCTCGAGTAAAGTATTCGACAAGCAGTCCATGAACACTAGATTCTGACTAGACTCGTGTTTCAATGTCTCGTCAATACATGAACTCATCGTAATGGAAGCTTACGAAAAATTAGTCACTCAATCGAAAAGGCGACTATTCCTTGAATGATTGACTCTTCGCAGGTCATCGGAAACGATAACGAAAAAAAGATTATTACGACGTAATCTCGTAATACAACTAATCCAGACTAGCCACAGACTCGCTTGAATTTCAAACAGTAAATACTAATGAGCTTTGTTAGCAAAAGAAAAGCCGATGATTATCCGTGAAAGTTGTTTATAAAGCCTCATAATATACAAGTCTAAGAGTATCCATATTGTTTAAGGATCGCTTGGTATGGAGCAATTGCTTCTTTAGCTCGTCCTCTAGCAGCCTCGCTTGGTTTCTTCAAAAGCTTTTTCCTTTTATACCAGACAGCTGCCTTAGCTTTCCGACGATTCTCCATTTTTTCGATTACATTCTTATACTTCCAACCGACATCGTTAGACAAACGAGATAATACGGAAAACTATGGAAAAGTAGAATGCAATTAGACAACCAACCTTTCGTCCTGGCTTTAATCTGATTGCTCGCAAAGCTGAAGGAACAACCATACGCTTTTTTTTGTCGTATGGAGGAGGAATACCTTCGAACACTTTGAGTTTGTCAAGAGCTTGTTTTCCACGATGCAACTTGTGAGGAAGCATACCACGTACAGTACGCCAGAATATTTTTGCTGGTGCTCTGAAGTGATAAGGACCTCTTGATGGGTTGGTATTCATCCGCTTCCTAAGGAAGTCAAGATATTTCACTAAGAAGTAAACTTAACAGCGAGGACCTACATTTATTCCGGTAAAAAGATCCTGATATATTAATGCTTTCGCACCGTACTACAACTACTTTCTGACCATTGAGCAATGTTTTGGCAACCACAGAGGCCAAACGACCAAGAAGATGGCCTTGTGCATCTATAATTATGGGCTAATATGATGGATAATTCAAATCCACTACCAAGATTACCTTCTTCTGGAAACTCATGCCTACACGAGTGGAACCACAAACTGCGCTCTTTTAAGGGAAGGGAATTAAACAAAATGGTTACTTCAATTTTCAATCACTAGTACCTCGAAACAATTGTAGGTGAATAGTTTGATCTTTACCTTTTTACAAAAATGTTTTTAAAAGTAATACTAAAGGCTGATTATGCAAAAAAATGGCACAGTTTCGACAGTGGAAACAGTAGTTTTTATGCATCACATCTGCAATAATAAGATGTCATTGGCCTCCTTACCTTCATAATGACAATCTCTAACTTTAGAGATGAAGTATAAAGAATGATGTATTAAGGCACGGCCACTTTATAAGTGGTTAGTGAGACCCCTAATGTTGAGTTCACCTTCTACAGAAATTCGACCTATCGCTGTGGAGTTCATTTTCATTCTCAGTTTGGAAAGGACAGGAAGTTAGGATTGCGTTGATTATGGCAGTTATTGACGTTCAATTGATCCCTTTTCCTTCGAAAGCTTCGACGGTTGGAGCTTCATGTATAACAGTAATGACTTCCATTTGCTAATGATTCAATTGAAAAATCTATAATCAGCCGACAAATAATTGGTTCTGGGTTTGTGAACTTTTTGAGTGTACTCGTAAGTCCTCTGTTCTGGGTGACAAGAAAAATGAGGGTATGTCAGATACATATTTATAGCTAAGGAGTTTGAGATTTCTGAGCAAGCCACCTCTGGTTCTTCTTTATAACAACATGAGTAATTTTAGTTTAGCCAGTTGAGCATAATATGGGAAGTTTGCTACTCCAAGGGCGAGCTTAGCTGCGGTTCCTTAAACTTTTTTCAACGGCTGACTGTCTCTTTTTGGACAGGGGCTAGTCGCTTGTATTCAGTACTCAAGTTTAAGATGCACAAATACTGTATACTAAGTCAAAAACATTTTAGACTTGACATGTCTAACGGCTCTAGGTATTGAGTATAAGGTTCTGTAACCCTTAATGGCTATCATACGGCACTGCGCAATAGTTTTCAAGTCTTGACTAACGATTACTCCTAGTTATCTGTATGTCTAGACAACAGGTAGCTCGATGATGTTGTTCCAGTTCCCTTGGTAATACCCCTTGGGCTGCAAAACGAATGAAATATATGCTCGACGGATTCGCGAAAGAACTTGCTAATGCTTTTAGTAACCCGAGATACATTTCATCGAGTCCCATGGGTTCGCCTACATCAAGCTTATTTAAAAGACCAAATACATCGAGTTCTTTGATGGTCACAGGGTCTGGTGTGCTTGTAGGGAGGGGGTTGCGTGAACTAAAGGAGAAAATATCTACACAGTATACAAATTAATAAAGTAATTTGAGAATACCTGAGCTTCAGCACAATCGTCCTCCACCAATGATGAAGTACTACCGTCACCTCATAATGCTGGGATATTCCTTCTTATCTCTGTCCTTCAATTGATGAACACGTTTTCCTTTATACACTCATCTAGACTTTCAGAGGGTCGAGGCACGGATATTTCAAGTCTACCGATATTGAGATTTCGTCTTGTCAGTACTCAGTAACTCAAATCTCCCCCACATTCCTCTCTTCTTACAGAGGAGGGTTATAAATTCTATACTTTACCACGATGGGAAGGTTGTCGGGCCCCTTAATACAGTCCAAGGGATGTGCAGTGCAGTAAGTCTCATGCACATATTTCTGATGATATCCCTAGGCGTTACAATAGGGGGCTCTGGTTCTACTGCACAATCTACCGAGAATGCTGAGTGTATAATGTCTTGGATATTTGTTCTGCAGATGCTTGATCTGACATGGACTGGCATGTCTTCGTTATTGACAACTATGTGGAAATCAAAGGCTAGAACTGCATGGCCACTGTTACTTAGGGGTGGTATATAATGAAGTTCTGTGAAATCATTCTCATTATGGGTCGATATGAGGTCCAGTAGGGGCGATTCATATGTTGCACTTGAGCATTTGAGATAACGAGGTCAACTAGTTTCTGTTAGAAAGTTTTCTGAAGCTCGGTCCTCGGGTTATTCCAGTCTTCCGTAGGTGGTTAAACATCGACCACTTGATGAACAAGTATTGAAAACGTCTGCCAAGGCCTCATTCACCCCAAAGTCGGGACTGCGGTAGACCAAACAAGTCAGAAGCTCTTATCGCTTGAACTACAAGCGGTAACTTATCAATTCACATGTCCAACTTTTATGAGATAGGTTATCTGCAAAGGTAAAAGAGATAGTATTTTCAATGCATGGAGCCACTACTCCTTTACGCCCCTGGATCCTGTCAGCTCTTAATGACGTGAAACTTTTAAAATAGTTTCCTACTGTCTACAGACTGCGTCAGCCACGTTTCGGTGATGGCGATTACATCCAGCTTGACAGAGTCTGTTTTTAGACCTGGCTCCGATTACCTGCTGAGCAAGATCCTGGCATCTTTAGCATAACGAAGACTAAGTAAAAGGCTTCGTGCTACACTCAAAGTGGCTTCGGCATCATTTTCTGTCGAAACATCACCACCCGAAAATTCAGAATTCAAGTAAAGGGAACTTAATACCTTGGACATTCATATAAATCCATGATAGAGTCAATGGTCTGAATTGTTTTAACCGAGCTGAAATAAAATAAATGGCAAATCAAGACCGAAGTCATTTGCATCCGGTCTACACTTCGTGAAAAATAAACTGGACGATCCAAGGTCTCATAAATCTTTACAAGTTTCTATTTACACTCCCTTTTCAGTCATTCCCGGATAGAAGCTGTGTAAGTTTATATTGCTAAGTATGTGTCACCATGATCAGAATTACGAGTTTAATGCTACTAAGGAAAACTAACTAACAACTGCATCAATCAGATGTATAGACTCCGGGTTACCCCCAGGTTTTCCGTTCTGAAAGTGGTTATCATGTGTGAAAAGATATTCAGCGCGATGAACTTAAAGATCTATGAACCTTTGTTTATTGAAATATCGTAACTGTGGCATACTAAAACTCCGTCAACCCTAATGCTTATGACTGTTGAAAAATCAGTTGGATTATAAAGTCTAGTGTCGGAGGGCGAATTGTTTCATAATATGGGCGAAACTCGTATTGTAGGTCGTAATAAACTCTGAAGCTGAAGAACCACCAATTTCCAACAACGTAAATGAGTATATAACAGATAAAGTATTCATCGTAGCCTACAAGATATGAAAGACTCCTTCTGTGGTAAAGACCGGGTAAAAAAGGTAAGGAAAGACAACTCATCACCTAACGGACGTCTAACAAACAACGACCTCGAAAATTTGAGAACTGGGCTTATCTTATGCCCAGAGAACTAACTTTTGGGACAAAACCTAACCCCAATGTACCTGGACGCTGTTGTAGGAATAGTAATAAGGACAGCTGTTTCCGCTTTTTAAAGTCTTAGGTTAATACATGAGAAAAAAGTAAAAGCAATCGCAAATGGCACACCAATTGCGAAGCCGGCAGTTACGCAAAGAATGATAATGAGTAATATGCTAGAGCTACAAATATGGTGTAGCCATTATCTGAGGACGCCCGAAGTCAAAATGTTTCCAATGCCACACAGTGTCTCAACAAGATATCCTCATTGCATTAAAGCATGAACAGAGCATCAAGATTTAACTCTGTACCAAATATATCGAATCATTTGGCTGCTTATGATTACTGAGATTTGAGTTTGTTTGTTTCATCAGGTATTCTAGTTTGAAAATCTTATTCGGTCTCGTCTGCAACCAGTGGTGTTTAACTCTATAGTGTGTATCGGTCGGGTTACGGAGAACAATAATTTTACGTAGTAGTATTTTTCAGTCAAAATGGGAGACAAGAAAGACTAGGCACATACAGGTTTAAAATTCAGTATTTTAAATGACGTATGATATGTGAAATGTGAGGCTATTCATAAATGTGAAAAATTTCATACCTAGTTCATTTCCAAGACAGTCAAGCTCTTTCGTCTTGTGTTGAATCCGATTCATGGATACATTTCAGGCCGTCATACATGGCACTTAAAATTTTGGGAGTGTGATACTTATGATAATGAGGAAAGTCTATCGCATTTTGACGGGTGTAGACAAAATTTACAGATACCAAACGTTAAGTGGATATGATAGGACCATGCGAACTCTATCCGAGGAATATATATGGTGGTAAGATTTGCAAATCAAATGTTGGTCGATCAATGAGAATAAATGGCAGCAGTCTGGCTGGGTAATTAGGAGAAACCAGTAATATTTGAATATTTTCCCAACGATGTGCTGAAGAAAATTGATTGGTAACAGTAAAAATCATCTGGAAGTAGACTCGGTTTTGAGTTTGATGCTTTTAATAAAGATAACCCAGATGCAGATTTAAAAAGACTGTCTGAAATTTTATGAGAACTTTACTCTCCATTTGAATAGTAAGTTTCACAACAGGTAAGATCTGAGTAAATCGACAGCACCAGAGATAAAATTTATTTCCTAAGAACTCAACATTTTGAGCCTTAATAATTCCAACGTTTCAGTTGGTCAATGCTGTACATGTTTATATAAAGAAGTGATCAAGCATCAGAATTATCGGATGTAAATATTGTCCATAAATTACCTGCACATTAAATAACTGGCCCGGTCATATTATGGAGTGCACTGACGATGTAACATATATATATAGTATGTATCACCAATCGAATGTGTAATGCGTGGGGGCAGAAGGTTCAGAAAATTGTAGCTGTAAATAAATCCCGCAAATCAATAGCTCTGTAAGTGTTTGACATCGGATGCTGATCACATTAGTTTGATGGAGTCATTTAACTGAAGGCGCTCGGTCATGCATCCGTCCCAGATCACGTTTTAGAACGGCGTGCGCAACATCTCCTTCGATCATTAGCCAGATTAGATCAGTCACTTCTCGATATATTGATAACCCATCAAATATGTCTTCCAACCTCTTCGCTTCTGAGTTTTGATTTTACTGGTTGGGCGTGGTTCGATTATAGAAGGTGTTAATGGTAAAGTGTTATCAAGCTACACTACTGGTTGTATCTTCAGTGTTGAGACCGACGTGATCTGGTACACCAAACAATAAACTGTGAGTCCATTCCTTTTTGGAA